CCCTTCTCTGTCAGCTCCTTGAGTTGCTTCCGAAGTTCATCTAACTCGGTAGGGGCCATCCTATAGATCCTTCCCTTTGGGGTCTTACTCCCTGGAATGATTTCTATAGCGTGGACGACTTCCCTATCAACAACTCCTGTGGGCTCCTCGAACAGATCAGGGAACTTAGCAACGACGCGTTCTATCTCTGGGGGTGTTTTAACGGCCTCCCCCTTCTCAGAGACATATACAAGGTACATACCCTCCTCTTTGTTTTGCTTGTAATAGTTGTAGAACGTTGATGCACACAAGCAGCCATAGGTATCTACAATACTGCTGGTCTTGAACTTAGTCAATCTGACACTTCGGCCATCGGGCAACTTTTGCTTGAGCACCTTTTTATCCCAGTCGAACTGGGGCTTAGCAACTTCGAGGTAGTACATACCTAACAACATTTCGAAAGGTAAGTCGTCACTAACCAAGAACGAGATCTTATGGTTAAGCTCGCCTCCTCCATAGGAGAAGGTACAGACTACATCCTTGATGTAGTCTGTCACTATCATGCGCTCTTTGTTGGCCAAAGTAGATGCTACTGGTCTACTAAGGTGCCGTACCCGGTCCTGTAGGTGCAGCCTTTCCAAACAATCGCGACTTATGTAATTTCGCGTGGATCCGTTGTCTATGAAGGCTGCATATTTGCGGCATCCTACATCTACTTCCACCACGAAATGTTCCCCTCTAGGACCCTTCTTTAGCGCCACCCAAGACTCGCGAGGGTCCTTGTTTGACCACTCGCCTTCTAAGTCTTCTAAGGCTTCAGACACATCTAACGTACATAGCATAGTTTGGTCGAGTTGTATCTGCAGGGTGACTAAGGAGTCAATAGCTTCGGCCTTGTCACGAAGTGAGGAGGGTATCATTCCCACTTCATCTTGAGTAGAAGTCGCTATTACTTCCACTGGCCCTACGCGTTTCCCGAGCTAGAAGCCTGGGAAATAGTTGCCCCAACCTTTGGTGCAACCTTTTGCGTAACCTTCGCATTCGGGCACTTCCACTGTGTGTGTCCGTATTCCCCGCAGTTGATACAAGCGCCACGCGATCGGCGTTCATGCCACACGTCTTGATCAAGACCTGCCTTAGTCCATTCAGCCTGTTTGGTCTGATTGGAGGCGGCCTTGCCTTGACCCCTAGGCTGGCCCTTCCCTCGGCCTGCCGCCTTAGTCTTAACTACCGCGGCGAGGGTGCTACCCTCAGCTACCTCCTCGCCGTCATACTCTGAGTAGTCCACCAAGTCAGAGAGTTCATCGATCTTAGTTTGAGTCCCATCAGACTCAACCATCATCAACTTCGCTCCCTTCTTCTTCCACTCTTGAGGACTCTTTTTCTTCCTTGAGTCATTCCCTGAGGTGGGTTGAGCATTGCCTAGCGTGGCCTCTAAGTCTAAGGCTTTCCTAGACAATGTCTCAAATGAGTGGTACTCAGTGCGTGCCTCACTGGCTAGTAAGTTCCTCATGTTCTCAGGTAGACATCTAACAAACGTGGTTAAGAGGAACTGGTCGCTGTAGTTGATGCCTGGGACGAGGATCAGGCTCTCGACGGTAGTCGTAAGCTCTCTAACTGACCTGAACTTGCGTTGGTCAAGTTTGTTAATGGCATCAGTGGCCCTTTGAGCCTCCTGTGGGTTATGCCATCGAGCTTCTACCATCTCCATGAATTGGTCTAAAGTCAATGACTTAGCCCAATCCGCCATGCGTCGCCCATAACCGGCCTTCACAACTACACCATCTAACCATTTGGCTGCCTTACCCTCTAGGTAAGACGCCGCAATTACCACTTCATCCTCAGGCAAGGTCCTTTTGACCTTCACCCAAACCGGGACTGTCCTCAACCATGTGTTGAGTTCTTCGTCCTTCCTCTCGCCTGAGAAGGCAAGAGGAGGTTTCATTGGGGTCTTGGGGTACCATTGACCTTGCGGCTGTCCTTGTGGAGGACTAGCTTGTTGCGGTGGTGTAGCAACCACCGCTGGACCCGAAGAAGAAGATGCAACAGTCTGTGCTGCTGTTGCAGACGTACCACTTGGCTGTGTGCCAACTTGTACGGCAAAGGGGCCTGACATCGCCGTTAACGGCAACGGCGATCGTGCTGGTGGCCGGAATCCTGGCCTTGTCAATGCATCGAGGATCTGGTCTAAAGTGCTTTGCATGAAGTCCATCCTGCTGCTACATGCGCATGTAGTGACAACATGTTGTCCCTCAACACTTTCAGGGTGTCAAACAAACCTGATTCGTCCAATCCCTCTAACGCAGCCTTGTCAGCCTCTAATGTATCAAGTCTGGCCGCTCTACTTTTTATCTCTTTTTCTCTATCGGTTGCTTTCTTCAGATCCTCTTCTAACTGCTGGCGGAGCCTCTCGACCTGTTGGATCTCTCTGAGCTCCCGCTCTCGTGCGGTCATGGGGCTGAACTGCGAGCCTGCCATTTGACTAAAAGACTGTCTAGAACCTTTGGATCCGGAAGTGCCCGAGGAACTTGTGGAACTATTTGGCATTCCCAACTGAGTCCCGCTATTCCCTGACGAGGACGCAGACGATGACGCAGCAGAGCTGGTACCGTTAGCCATTGTTGTTGCTCTGGCTGCTGTTGCCCGCTCTCTTGCTACTCTGTTTGCTTCCTGTAGTCCTACTGCCAGAGCACGGGCTCTACGTTCGGCACGAAGTCATCTTTCTTCTCCCTCGTCCAAGGTCCTGAACACGTGCGGAACCCTTAGTGCATCTGCACGTGTAAGTCTTCTATTGTCTGCTCTATCATCAACCGGATCTGATCCACTCATTAGTTAGGCAGATAGTTTCTGCATTAAAATCCCCTAGTGGAATCCTACCACAGCATGTATCTGACCGGCACCTAATTTTCTAACAATAGTTGTGTCCGGCGAGTATCCTACTATACCGAATCAAGTGGCACGTCTACAATATTAACACATATTGTCTTCATAGTCTAGATGCACCCTGATTGGTTCACTTACAGCAGCATTAGTTAGAACTGGCTGTGGTAGCATACTACAGTCCTACACTAATTCTGTCTGTGAGGTTAGCAGTCCGTCAACCAACTAATCAAAGGTACAAAAAGGCAATGTAGCAGATGTATGATTGATGGGTATGGTTGTGTATACAATTGAGCACCAATTAGAACCTACCCTCCCCTCCATCCAACATACCGAATAGCATCTTTGAGCGAGCAGTGTCTTCGTGTGTGAATCGGCCCACCCCTGTGCCCAAGTTGTCACCAAGCAAGCCAGCCCAACCACTCTTATTCACCCTCGTACGGCGACGAGCCTTCCTGTCCATGTGATATGGCTGATCAAGAGGGATTTATAGAGCGCCCCCATCTCTTCAGGAATTATTTAACGTCGCAGTCAGGACGACGATCACAGCCAGAATCACAATGAAGTCCCAACCAGAAATATTTATAGACGGTCTGGTGAGCGTTTGTCATGGGCTGGCATACCCGGAGGAACTTCTATCAGCGCAGCAAGTGCCAAACAGGACAGCAGCCATCCCATGCGTGTACTACTCCCTGTGGGTTGGCATGGTGACCGTGACCCAAGTGCTTCGACCAGGGCCCTTCAGAGGCACCGCCCTTTCTGCTTCAAGATGCTTCCGGG